AAAAAAAAAAAAGAGCATTTGCGGGTGCAAGGTTGTTGGGGAACAACAAGTTGCTTAGGGCCTTGCCACACCACCCTGTGAATATGAAAGAAATGGGATTCATCATTATTGCAAATTTGCAATCATTGTATTCACACAGTAGCAAGTACTAGCAACAGACGGGTGAATTTTGAAGACATCTGTGGGAAGACGAGCTCGTAATAAGTGTCATGGCAAGGCACTTGGTCTTCGGCTTCAGCCCACATTAGTAGCATGTCTTCCCCCCCCCCCCCAAAAAAAAAAAAAAAAAAAAAAAAAAGGGAAGGCGATGTCCAGGTCTCGGATTATCTTGAATCGTTAATCGGGCAATGTTCGGATTATCTCAACTCGTTAATCGGGCAATGTCGATCCCGCGGGGGTGCTTTCTTTCCATTTGGAGAGAGGGGGTTGTATGATCTCCTTCCCTTCCCGACAATCAGCCAGCCTGAAACCCAAAGAAAGATGGGTGTCTGCAGACAACGAGTAGGAGTAGGGAAAGGAAGGAGAACATACATTTAGGCTGATTTGCACCTCCTCCCTCCAAGCGGAGAGAAAGCACTCCCCAGAGTCCCCACCCTTTCTCGTCAAGTAATCGGCAGACTGCAGCGGACACCATTTTCGTCCCCCGTGCATCTCTCATCCCACAAAGTCGATCCCCACCCTTTCTCGTCAAGTAATCGGCAGATTGCAGCGGACACCATTTTTGTTTCCCGTGCATCTCTCCGACTCTCATCCCACAAAGTCTATCCCCACCCTTTCTCGTCAAGTAATCGGCAGATTGCACAGACACCATTTTTGTCCCCCGTGCATCTCTCCGACTCTCATCCCACAAAGTCTATCGAGTGCGAGACCATAAGCTCCCCGTGCCGTGCCCAATCAATCGCCATGAATGGCGGTGCCCTACCTCTCTCACACTTCTCACACATCTCCCTCATCTGTCAACAGCAAGCTCCACCACCAACGCATGGCCGACATGGTATGCCAAAGCATCCATGCTATCGATACCGTAAACAGTATGCACATTCCCAACGCCTCCATGCTCAATCCCATGTCCCTCAGATCAGCTTGGGGACATGGCAGAGCAGCGGAATCTAATCCAGCGATAATCCACTGAAACTATATCCCCTCTAATCCGCCAACAATCCCCCGAATCTATAATCACATCTTTTGATTTTTTTTTCCTTTTTTTTTTTTCTTCTAATTTTACTGCTCAGTCACCAGTTACCCCGAAGACCCTCTGTCAGTTCACTGCGCACACCACACGTTAGCTATCGTCACCAGGTCAAGCAGCTTGACCAGATTATGATCACTCAGCTCGACCACGCCCATGCAGAGCAGTCATGTTAAGGGTCAAGCTCACTATTCAGACGGTCAAAGCCAAAGTCAAAGTCAAAGTCAAAGCCGAAGTCACAGTCAAAGTCGCAGTCAAAGTCAAAGCCAAAGTCACGGTCAAAGTCGCAGTCAAAGTCACGGTCAAAGTCACCGTGACCATCACCAGAACGGTCAGCATGACCATTGACCATTGACCGTAACCAACAGAAGAGTCACGCTGCCAATAGCCATGGTGCACATCACTACGTGCATCTGAAGGAGTACGGCAACCAAAAATAAAGGAAGGGAAAAACAAAAAGTGATAAAAAAGAGTAATATCAATAGCGAGATATCGAGTGTGATGGGGAGGCAGACCTGACACACACACACACACACAGAGAGAGAGAGAGAGAGAGAGAGAGAGAGAGAGAGAGAGAGAGAGAGAGAGAGAGAGAGAGAGAGAGAGAGAGATTTGTGATGGAAAAAAGGGGTCCACAAAGAATCCTCAAGAAAAGGACTCGTCACAGATCAGGAAAGCCTCATTTGAAGGTCAACAACACCCAAGTCACACGTCACCCAAACCATTGGGAGAACTTGGGACTGGTCATCCAGCAATGTCTCAACGATCACATGCAATGCCTGCACTCACATCCCTTCCATTCATCCAGCAAGGTCTCAACGATCACATGCAATGCCTGCACTCACATCCCTTCCAATCATCTTGACCCGTCTCCCAGCTCCCAGACTGATACAAAACCCCACATTACACAAGTTTTAAATATGCCTCTCTCTCTCTCTCTCTCTCTCTCTGTGTGTGTGTGTGTGTGTGTGTGTGTGTGTGTGTGTGTGTGTGTGTGTGTCCAGGACGCATTCACATCAACACCCACTCGCCTTGCCTAGGTGGACTGATCTCTCTCTCTCTCTCTCTCTCTCTCTCTCTCTCTCTCTTCAAGTTCACATCAACACCCCAGCTCCCAGACTCGTACAAAACCCCACATTACACAAGATACGCTCTCTCTCTCTCTCTCTCTCTCTCTCTCTCTCTCTCTCTCTCTCTCCAAGTTCACATCATCAACACCCACTGGCCTTGCCTAGGTGGACTGATCTCTCACACAGGCTCTTAACACAGATACTCAATCACCTTCCACTTTCCAGCTCTTCCCTCCGATGTGTTCATGCGTCCATGCACGTGCGTGCGGCCTGTGCAGTTAAATGCAGAAGAAATCTTGGACATCCACTTTCTCAACACCCCACGGCTCCGCCCTACCCTATTTTCGTGTCCCAACTGCAGATGGATGCCCACAAGGGATCTCATCGGTAGGGAGATGCTTCACCACATTATCCCCCCCCCCCCCCCCCCCCCC